ATACTACAATAAATGAGGCTTAACCTATGCCCTAAGGGCAAGGTTAGAAAATCCCTAATAATAATAATAGCAACCCTCCCTAACAACCAAGAGTCCCAATGGATTCATATTAGAATTGTTTATAAGTATAAATCCACCAACACTCTATTAACACCTTTCTAATACCGCTTGTTCTATATTGTACATGGGTTAAGTTCCCCTTGCACTTCAAGAATAATATTCTTTTGCTTTTCTAAAAAAGAAAAAAAAGGAAAAAACCCACCCTATTAAGACCTCTCTAAAATTGTGAAATCCTATTTGACGGGCCAAAGGTGACAAAATCGTTAGTGGTGTTTGAGTGCCTTGGCTCAGGTCATTATAATTGATATTAGAGCAACTTTAGGTGTCTTCTTTAATAGTGGTACGGCAATCCTCATCACCGATTGAGTTAGGAAAATCCCATAGTGACAAAATATGAGAGTGAGACTAGGCCTTTTTGTATAGTCTCAAGGTTTGAGTGAGGCCTTCTAAAACCTTCTAAAACCTTGAGACTCATTTTGACAAACTAATGTAGAAACTAGCACTATTAGTGTTTGAGTGCTTTGGTGTAGGTCATTACAATTGGTAACAGCTATTACATCACAATTCAAGAAGGCCAGGTTTGAGTTATAACCTTTAAAGCAACTCCAATTAAAGTTGTTTCATACAAGCATCTTCAAGAAGACATATTTTAGGCCCTTTCTAAAATGCTTTTAAAAACAGTGCAAATAAAACAAACTTTGAAATTTTTGTTTTTTGAACAATAGAAAAATTATTTATTTATTAGAAAGCATAAGGAGTACTTTAACCTTCATAACAAAGCATAGTTTATCTAAGAAAGAGGTGCCAAATTACATTCCCAAACATTGCAAACCCTCTGACATCTTGAAACAATTACCCAATCGCTTCTCACCAATCAAAAGCCACTTGAAGGTTCCTTCTTAACCATTGCCTTAATTAGTTAAGCTCTCCACCTTTAAGCATGCATGTGGGTTTTCAAACTAATCTAAAATGGCAATCTTCTCCACCTTTAATCTGCCATTAATCCAGTGGGGTGATTTCAATTGAATTTGTTCAAACATTCTAGCATCATCAACCAAAACCTTTAAATACTATCTCATATCTAGTGAGCCATGTGTATGGATAGTCAAAGAATTTCATTTGAAATTAATAGCTACATAAGTTTACAAAATTCCAAGAATAGATTTCAAGGAGGGAGCTGGAAGAGGATGAGAGATTGTATAGGTTGCTGGAACAAGTTAATTTGAGGAAGGATGGGAATGATGTGTAGGGGTGGAGTTTTGATGGGAATGGACAATATATGAAAAAGGCAGTATATGATTTGTTTTCCTCTAATGAGGTTTTGTTTGAGAAGAAACCATGCAAGATGATTTGAAATAAATATCTACATTTGAAGGTCAGTATATTTGGATGGACATTGATGCTCAATTAATTAGCAACAAGGGACAATCTTTACAAAATTGGATTGATGACAGAAGATGGTGAAATGCTGTGTGGGTTGTGTGGTGATACGGTGGAACAAAGCGATAATTTATTTCGTACTTGTACATGTGCATGGAAGATTTGGATGGAAACTATGAAATGGTGGGGCATGGAGATAGTGCTACTGAACAACTTTAACAATTTGGGACCAATTTTCATGCATGAATGTCATGCCCCAAAACCAAGAGCGAAACAAATGCCGTGCACTCGTGAATAGATCCCACAAATGCACAAGGTTCGAAACTTATTGAGGTCATAATTACTAATTCAGATAATTCAGATTTAGGAACTCAGGTAATATCTAGTTTCTCTTTTTTTTTTTTTTTTTTTATATTTACTAGTCAAAATATACAAAGATTTATAACTTCATTTATACAGTCATTTCTATACTAATGGGGTTCTGTACACAAAAATTTCTAAGTCAGCATGGGTGACTAACGACCTAGCTACAAAAACCTAAGTCCAAAAAATGCTTAGCCGTCTAGCTCGTCACTCCCCCGGGCTCCCCATGCGTCAGGTCTCACTACCTGAAATGGTGGACAAGGAAAACTATGAGATAAAATATCTCATTAAGTAAATATGGGTGCCCAATATCAAAATTTAAAGCATGCCAAATAAACAGTTTAAACATAAACAGAGCATCTCAATAACAAACCATTAATGCAGAATAAATTAAATAGTGGTCTTTTCTATTAGTCATGACCAGTGTTATAAACCTCCCATTGGCAAGCACACGATTACTAGTGTATAATCCCACTAGTAGGATAACACGAGCGAACCGGTTCTATCAGTAAACATGTCGACATGTGCTAGCGTTTATAAACCTCTCACTAGCGGGCACACGAATAACATGACCATATCGAAGACAAAACCAAGCAAAATTTACGGAAAAATTCCACGATTCACAATCGTTCTCACTTTCAAGAATAAATCGAAAGAATCTCATGTTGGCATGCTCAATTCTAGAAAATAAGAAAAATAATAAAAGTTCAATTTCCATTTTAATCATGCTCAAATGCAAATAAATCCATTTAAACCACACCAAAACAAGTTAAAATATGCTTTAAAATTTAAGGGCATTACCATAATTTACTTACCTTAATTGCACAAGACAGAAGGCTTAATCCAAATGCCAGGGTCACAGGACGATAAAGAACCTAATCACAATATTTCCAAATTAATATCTATAAAGAAATTTTATTTCTTTATTTGTTTTTATTTTTATTTTTCTGCTATCCAAAATTTGAGCACACAACATTAGATTGTGCATTTATGTATATATATATACATAGTTACACATATACAATTTTTCCCAAATTCATGGACAGGAAATGGGAGAACCGGCTTGACAAAAAAATGGGCAAGTCACAGGATTTTCTCTTTTTCTTTCATACAACATCACAGCAGCCAAATGAAAGGATTTCCTACATAATTAGACTTAAAAACTCATTGCAAAGCTACCGGAAATCAATCCCCTCTTCCCAGCAGATTTTCGGACATCCAGCATTCATACAACCAATTAAACTCACAAATTAGCACTTAATCAACCAATTTTTCGGAGATTAGGGGAGCCAACCTACCAGAAATCCTCAGCAAGCAAGGTTGGAGCTGGTGGGTATGGGGGGGAAGAGCTGGCGGAAATTGGGGAGGCTTCCACGGGACCACTAGCAATTGAAAAAAAGGAGAATTAGAGTAAACCCACATACATCAAGGCTGAAAAGAGGAGTTTCTTGGCTGATTTTTACCAGGAAAAACCTGAGTTCACCCCAGCAGCAGCCAGCAGCAGAGGAGGAAGAAGACAGCAGATCTGGAAAATTTTCTGCAAGGAAGAAGATTTCTAAATCCTAAACTTGTTCTTGAGCAAGAGCAGAACAAAAATATCAAGTTCTCTTACCAATTTTTCAAGTGGAGGCGTCGGTGATGGCTGGGCTCATTCCCGGCTGCAGAGGAGAAAAAGAGACACAGCAGACACGCGAAAATGGCTGGGGAAGAAAGAGGGAAAGAAGAAAAAAGAAGGAAAAAAGAAAGAGTCAGCCGGCCTTATCCAAAAATCTTTTGACCCCTTTAGGATTTCAAAATTTGACTATTAGGTCCATTAATAACGTTTCCTCACCATTAAGTCCCTAGTCAACTTTAATGTTCTTGAAATTTTTAGGGTATTACATCCACCCCTCCTAAAAAGGAGTTTAGTCCCCTAAACTCATACCTCAATCTTGGAAGAGCTGTGGATGTTCCTGCCTCATCTTGGATTCCAACTCCCAAGTAGCTTTTTCAACCGTATGGTTATCCCAGCGGACCTTAACAAAACGAATGGTCCTTCTCTGCATTATCCTCTCGTTGAAATCTAAATTGCGGATCGAGTGCTCGTCATAAGTGAGATCCTCCCAGAGTTGAATTGGTTCGGGATTAATGATGTGACTCGGGTTGGGAACATACTTCCGAAGTAAGGACACGTGAAACACATTATGAACACCCGCTAAATTTCCAGGCAACTCCAATTTATAAGCTACCTCACCAATCCTTTCCAAGATAGGATACGGTCCAATATACCTTGGATTCAATTTTCCTCGGATGCCAAACCTGAGGACGCCTCAAGTGGGTGACACCTTCAAAAATACATGGTCACCAACTTCAAACTCAAGGTCTCGTGTCCTTCTATCCGCATAGCTTTTCTGCCTGCTTTGTGCAGCACGAAGGCGTTCCTTGATCAACTGCACAATCTCAGAAGATTGCTGCACCAATTCTGGGCCTAAAATGCTCCTTTCGCCCACTTCTGTCCAATAAACAGGTGATCTACACCTTCGACCATACAAAGCCTCAAACGGTGCCATGCGGATGCTGGATTGATAACTGTTATTATATGCAAACTCAACTGTGGATAAGTGTTGATCCCACGAACCCTTCCAATCTAGAACACAAGCCCTCAACATGTCCTCAAGTATCTGGATAGTTCTCTCAGATTGCCCATCAGTTTGAGGATGGAAGGCCGTGTTGAAATTCAATTGAGTACCGAGTGCTTGCTGTAAACTTGTCCAGAAATGAGATAAAAATCTAGTATCTCTATCTGACACAATAGACACAAGGACTCCATGTAGCTTGACTACTTCATCCATGTACATATTGGCAAGCTTTTCAATGGAGGTGCTAGTCCGGTAGGGTAAAAAGTGAGCTGATTTGGTCAATCGATCAATGATGACCCAGATGGAATCATTACCCTTTACGGTTCGTGGTAAACCGGTCACAAAATCCATGGTGATGTTTTCCTACTTCCACTAGGGAATAGGTAAAGGCTGCAGTTTCTGAGGAAGTCTCTAGTGTTCAGTCTTGACTTTTTGGCAAGTCAGGCATTGTGAGACAAATCTAGCTATCTCCCTCTTCATGTTCCGCCACTAAAATGTACTACGCAAATCACGATACATCTTGGTGCTACCTGGGTGAATTGTATAGCTAGTATAATGGGCATCTCCCATAATCTCACGCCTTAAAGCATGATCTCTTGGTACACACAGCATGTCACCAAACCACAGAGTCTCATCATCAGAAATTCTGAATTCTTGCATGTGGGTTTCCCCGGCTCTTACTTTTTCCTTCATTTTCTGCAAGAAAGGATCTTTTTGTTGGCCTAGTTTAATTCTATCTATTAATGCTGGTTGTGCACTGAGAGCAGCTAGATAAGCCGTAGTAACTTCCTACTCAATGCATCTGCTACCTTGTTAGCTTTGCCCAGATGGTAGCTAATGGTAAAGTCGTAGTCCTTTAAAAGTTCAAGCCATCGGCTCTGCCTCATATTAAGCTCATTTTGAGTGAAAATATACTTAAGGCTCTTGTGATCGGTGAAGTTTTCACAAGTCTCACCATACAAATAATGTCTCCAGATCTTGAGTGTAAATATTACAGCTGCCAACTCCAGATCATGGGTAGGGTAATTTTCTTCATAAGACTTTAACTACCGGGAAGCATATGCAATAACCCTATCTTTTTGCATCAAGACACATCCTAAACCCCTTTTAGAGGCATCACTATATATGGTGAATCCTTCCCCATTGATTGGGAGTGCAAGTATAAGAGCAGTGACCAACTTCTCCTTAAGGGTCGAAAAGCTCTTCTCACACTCTGGAGTCCACTCAAACTTGGTGTCCTTCCTGATAAGACGAGCCATTGGCAGACCAATTCTAGAGAAATCCCCCACAAATCGGCGGTAATAACCAGCCAATCCCAAAAAACTACAGATTTCTGCAACACTATTTGGCCTTTTCCAATTCACCACTGCCTCAATTTTCTGGGGGTCAACAGAGATTCCATCCTTAGACACAACGTGACCTAGGTATGCAACATTATCTAGCCAAAATTCACACTTCTTGAATTTAGCGAACAGCCTTTCACTTCTTAGTGTCTCGAGAACTGTTCTTAAGTGCTGCTCATGAAGAGTATGACTAGAAGAGTAGATCAAAATGTCGTCAATGAAGACAACCACAAACTTATCTAGGTACTTGCTAAACACCCGATTCATCAAATCCATAAATATGGCAGGGGCATTTGTCAAGCCAAAGGGCATGACTATGAATTCATAATGACCATAACGGGTGTGGAAGGCAGTCTTTGGCACATCATCCAGTTTAATCTTCAACTGGTGGTAGCCAGATCGAAGATCAATCTTAGAAAATACCTGGGCACCCTTGAGCTGGTCAAACAAGTCATCAATTCTAGGAAGGGGATACCGGTTCTTTACAGTCACCTTATTCAATTCCTGGTAATCAATGCATAGCCTCATGCTCCCATCCTTCTTCTTAACGAACAACACTGGAGCTCCCCAAGGTGACACACTAGGGCGTATAAACCCTTTTTCAAGGAGTTCCTCTAGCTGGACCTTTAACTCCTTCAATTCTGCAGGAGCCATACAATATGGTGCTTTGGAAATAGGTCCGGTGCCAGGAACACCTAACTCACTTTCGTAGGAATCACAATTGCACTTAGCATGTGCAACAAGCCTTTAAACCCCTAGGTCACCCTAGTGAATGAGTTGTGTCTCATGAGGGTTTTCAGCGGATCTACCCACAAAATCCCAATGCAATAATGCAACTATATGATATGCATGCAAAGAAAATTTAGGAATTAAAGTTTAATTAGATACAAAGTCTCAAATATTCAAGAGTTTTCATATACTCACTTAAAGCCAAATACTCATCATATTCTTCACACCACTTGTTAAAAAATTTAGCCCATGAGCATTTAGTGTGTGTGTGAAAATTCTTAGTAAGAAGTTTCAAGTTTAGACCTTCACACCTTAACACTTATTATTTTTTTCTATTCCCCCCTTCCCCTTTTTTTTTTGTATGTTGAGTTTCCTTAGGCTTTCTAAGTTATCCATGTAACGAGCTTTCTGCCAATGGCTGCCAAACCAGTTGGCTTTAGGGCATTAGGTGAAAAGACACCCCTAAGAACATAGTCGCTCAAGTAACAAAGGCCACGAAGCATTCAACTTCTCTTTCTTTTTTCTTTTTCTTTTTTTTTTTCAACCATACAACACATTCTTCCTTAAGTTATTACTTGTCTTTTGATGCGAATACTAACATTTGTGATGAAAGCACCCGGTTACTCAACAAGTTATAAACTTAAAGTGCTTTGCGTACTCGTATTTCAAGTCACCGTTTGATGTGAAAGTTGACATGGATCTCATGCCTAAACCCCAATTACTAAACAACTAGAAACATTGGAGTAGAAATTACTAAACTCTTCCGTGTATTGGCTTCTTCTCTTTTTTTTTTTTTTATGTGCTTTTTAGGTACTACTAAGTCTTTTCTTTAAACTTCTCACTACAAACTTGTGCTCAAATAGAATAAAATACTCATGAACTTAAACTTCATCACAATGGTGCTATTTTTCAAATTTTGTATCTCCTCTAAGATTTAAAGATTTAGAAGTTTTTGAATCTCCAACTCAAGAATATCCAATTCCTTGACACTAATTGGACCACTCCTAAAAAAAAAAAAACCTTAATTTCTAAAAAAAATGTATGTTATGCAAATATGAATGCAAACTAAGGGATGCCTAAAAGTTTTTCTCTCCCCCAAACACATTGTCCTCAATGTAAAATAAAAGTAATAGAAAAGAGAAACTTCCCAAGTTTTGCACTTGAAGACTTAAAATTTAAGTTCTGAAGTTAAGTTGTCTTCAATTAAAGGAGACTCCTAGCATGTGAATTTCCATGATCTCATCCCCCAAACTTGTTGAATGACCTGGCCAAAATCAAAGAACAACAAATTATGCATTAACCGAGGCCATAAAGAGAAAAAATAATAATAATAAAAAAAATCTAAACTATTAAAATAAAAGATAAAGAAATAAAAGAAAAAAAATTTATGCTTGGGTTGCCTCCCAAGAAGTACTTAATTTATAGTCATTAGCTAGACTTTTTACCACTCGAAGGTGGTTTTGGATCAGGTTGTAGGGTATGTCCTCTCGTTTTCTTAAATCTTGGTTTTCTTACTCTTAAGTTGAATCCACCATAAGATTTTCTCCAATGATTATTTTGAGGTGGTTTGGGTTTAGGCCAAGAGATGTGCCTTCCCAATTCTTCTAGGAGTTCCCTGTAATACCCCAAAATTTTGTGATATTTTAGCACTTAGTTAAGGACTTGATTGTGAGGAAATATTATTTTGGGGCTTATTAGCTAAAATGTCCAAACTTGAAGGACTTAAAAGAGTAGAAATTTGGATAAGGACCGGGTATTTCTTCTTCTTTCTTTCTTCAGCCTTGCGCGTTTTTGCTCTTCTTCTCCTTCTCACCCGACAACCCCTCAAGCCCCCCCATCCACCGACTCCCCTTCCCTTGAGAAAAACCGGTAAGAAGCTTGGATTTTCCCCTTATTTTCTTGTTCAATAACCAGATTTAAGCTTGGAATTCCCCCCCCCCCTCTCTGCAGAAATTCGGATCTGCCCTGCTCTGCTTCTTCCGTCCAGTGCTCTGCCGTGTGTGGGGGTGAGTTTCTCGGTTTTTCTGGTAAGGAAACAACATGAACTTCATCTTTTCAGCCTTAATTTGGCTTGGGTGCACTTTAATCCCTTTTGGTTTCTTTCAATTTTTGGGTAGTGGCGTGAAAGCTCCTCCAATTTCCCGCCGGCTTCCCCAATCTGTAGCTCCAGTTCCTTGCTTGCAAATTCTGGTATGTGACAGCCCTTTAAGCCTAAAATTATCCATTTAGTTTGCTGCCTTGTGATGTTCGAAAATCTGCAGTAATTAAGGGATAATTCCGGTAGCTTTAGGATAAAGTTTAAGCATTGATTCAACTGGAATTTATGTGATTGAGTGTTAATTGACTGCTGTTAGATTTTGGAGAACAATCTCGTGAAATTAACTAGTGCTTTGGCCAATTTTTGGAAGTGCAGTTACTGTTCCCTGCACTGTTCCTGGTACTGTTCACGGGTATTGTTCACACACTAATGGCCAACAATTAACGGAGATTTAAATGTTTAGTTTGTGATATAAGAACAAATTTGGAGATATTTGATCATGGGAAATTGATAGGAATAGCATCGTGATTATGGGGTAGTCATGGTGATTTTACTTTTGAATCTATGGTGCGATATTAATTTTGGATATTTTGATTAGGTTCTTGATCGTTCTGTCAGTTTGGCACTGAGATCGAGTCTTCGGTTTTATGCGATTTGAGGTAAGTAAATTTATGGTAATGCCCGTACAGTTTTTAAAAGCATGTTTTGACTTGTTTTTTAAGTGGTGGCGGGATTAAACCCGTTTTATACAAAAGTAAGTATGACTGATTTAAAGTGAAATTTTTATGCTTTTCATTAAATTGAGCATGCCTACTTGAAATTTAATTGACTGTCTTGATAATTTGAAAGTGATTGGTGAATTATGATTTTTCTGTTAACTTCTGTCTGTTTTGTCTCTGATATAGTCATGTAATTTGTGTGCCCGCTAGTGGGAGGTTTATAAATGCTAGCACATGTCGACATGTTACTGATAGAATCGATTCATTTCTGTTATCCTACTAGTGGGATTATACACTAGTAAATCGTGTGCCTATCAGTGGGAGGTTTATAACACTGGCCATGACCTATAGAGGAGACGTCTATTTCGTTCCTGTACTGTATCCATTTTTCGTGATTATACTTGTTGGCATGTTATAAGTTTAATTAAGGGCATTCCATATTTTACTTACTGAGTTTATCTCATAGTTTTCCTTATCCACCATATCATGAAGCGAAACCGAGGACGGGGAAACCACGGGAAGTGACGAGTTAGAAGGCTAGCCATTTCGAGATTGATATAGATTTTAGATATAAATTATGATCTTGTAAGTTAGATTGTATTTGAAGATTTTATGATATCAGAGCAATTTTAAAATTTTATCTTCAGATTTTGTGGTATCAGATTGTGATATGATTAAGTTCCGAGCCTTTTGCATTTGTGGGAACCTCTCACGAGTGCACGGCGTTTGTCGCGCCTTGGATTTTGGTTCTAAGGCGTGACAAATTTAGTGGTATCAAAGCTTAGGTTGAAATTAAGAGCGCAGGATTAAATTAAGCACCTCCAGATTGAGTGATATCAGAGCTTAAATTTAATTATATAGCTAGGTTTAATTGAATACATAGGATTTGTTTAGAACTTGGCTGGCCAATGGATTTTAGAACCGTGGTGAGATGAGTGATGGGGTTATATAAGGGACGATTCTGATTCATGTTCCCTGAATTTTCTAATCCATTTTGAGGAGACGGTAATCTGATTGTTCTTGTTTCCTACCTTCATACCCTATGTAGATTCATGAAATTAATCTTATCCGTCATGTTCTTAAGACCTTGTTTTGAAACTTGGTCATTCTGATAGTTTGCACTTATTTAGACTTGTTACTTGAATAGAATTTTTGTATGCTTTTTTGTCACAATTGTAAAATCTGAGGAGTTGCAGAGATTTTTTGCTATTGATCCTGTTGGTCTCTACAGCATAGCTGGTGGAGAATTTGTTCTGTTTGTCAGATGACTAGTAGAAGATGGGCAACCCTCTACTCTGTAAGAGATTCAAGGCTATTTTAGCAAGTGTTGTGTGTTTTCTAGCTGCGTTTTAGGAGCTGGATAACTTGGTAATTTTGCTGCTCATTATCTTTCTGTAAGTTTTATAGTGAAGTTTCACTTTTTCCATTTGGAGCTTCATGGTCTTTTCATGTGGCTCATTTTTCTATATTGATTAATCAAAAACAATGATCAATTCAATTGAAATTGCCTTGTTTTTGTGAAGATTGGCAAGTTGTCATAAAGTTAAACTCTCTATTGTTGCTAATCTCTACATTCTTGATACTTGGAAACTACTTAAAACTCTTGAAATCCATCTTGAATAATTCTTGAGATTGTTTTGTACTTGTTATTGAAACTGAAATCCAAAGGAAATGGATAATGATTATTGAAATCCTCATTATTTTGACACTTGTCTGAAACTATTTCTTGAAACTATTTCTGGCATTGTGCTTGGAATTAGTTCGTAAACCTTGCTTGAAATTAATTCTTGTTGGAATTCTACTCTTGAAAATCGACTGATATTGTTCTTGGAATCTATTCTTGAAAGTCAATTGATATTTGGTTTTTGGAATCTATTTTGAATTGTCATCATTCTTGTCCTGACCTTTGCTCTTGTTCAAATTCTGTATACTGCTCATGCTCAAATCCTGCATATTTTGCTAGTTCTTGTTTTAGTGTACCTATTGGTCTTCTTGATTTTTGATTTTTGTTCATATGAACACCTTTTTAGGAGGGGTGACGATTATTAGAAAATATCTATATGAGACATCCTCATTCTTGTCTCTTGCAAGTGTTAATCTCTATATCCTTGATGTCTTAGCTTTAACTTGACTCTAGGATGTCTAGGATGACTTGGTTGTAAATCTGCTTAGCTTCCATGGGCTACGAGGTGAAGGGGTAGTCTTTGAAGTGCCTGATGCGCTAGAGTTTTGTTCCAAGAGAAATGGTTCTTTTATTTGGCTGCTTTGATTTTTGTTTGCCCTTTTAATTAGAAGACAGTAATCTTCTAAGTATCTTGATCCCCACTATTGATTATTCTATCAATTAATTCGTGTTACTTGGGGTGCTAGATCTTGACATCCTAGTTATATCTGCTTTTGAATTCATGTTTTGGTTATCATTATTGAAATCTCTTTTGTGGGCTTAATCCTTGAATTCTATTACTTGTTTCATGGTTAACTCTTGTTTCTCAATTTTGACTGCTTGGTTAAATTTGATCTTGATTCTTGGTGAATGCCGTTTTGTTCCTGAATTTTTTTGAGGCATTCTACCTTGCACTCTTATGTTCTAATATTCTTCCAAGCATTCATATTTTCCACTGATTTCATTCTGGTGCTATTTTGGAAATTTCACATGTCATTTGATAGGTCTTTCTTTTAACTCTTGTTAATTGCTAAAATCTGTTTCTTGATTCCAGTTGCTTTGTTAAACATGACCTTGCTTATTGGTTAACCTTGTTTTGTGGCAAAATGTATAAGGCATCCATGCACTCATTTATTCACTCATAATCCATATATCCATTGGATGCTTATCCGTCTTTGATAGAGTTCAAAGTTTTGTTGTACTCGTCCTTGAATCCATGCCATTCTTTGCCGACTCATTTTGTGTTGGGTTCGTAGCGTAACCCTACAATTGTTCTTTTGTGGCCTTGGCTGGATTTATTTTTATTCCTTGTGTTTTCCATATCACCCCAGCCTCTAGTAGCTTGTTTTATGGTAAATCTTGATAAGTAGTTAATGTTCTGCTTTCTAAGATTGGTTGTGATTTGATATTAGAGAGGCGCAACGAAAGCGTAGTAGGCTATGTTCTGTTCGTAAAGAGTTGGTGAGGCATTTGTTTTGTCTTGGATTGTGTGAAGCCATTTAGCAGTCTAGATGGTCCTCAATTTGAGTTTTGGGGATAAAACTCCTTCTTAGGAGGGGTGAATGTAATATCCCAAAATTTTGTGATATTTTAGCACTTAATTAAGGACTTGATTGTGAGGAAATATTGTTTTGGGGCTTATTAGCTAAAATTTCCAAACTTGAAGGACTTAAAAGAGTAAAAATTTGAATAAGGATTGGGTATTTTTTCTTCTTTCTTTCTTCAGCCTTGCGCGTTTCTGCTCTTCTTCTCCTTCTCACCCGACAGCCCCTCAAGCCCCCCCCAGCCACCGACTGCCCTTCCCTTGAGAAAAACCAGTAAGAAGCTTGGATTTTCCATTTATTTTCTTGTTCAATAACCAGATTTAAGCTTGGAATCCCCCCCTCTCTGCAGAAATTCGGATCTACCCTGCTCTGCTTCTTACGTCCACTGCTCTGCCGTGTGTGGGGGTGAGTTTCTCAGTTTTTCTGGTAAGGAAACAACATGAACTTCATCTTATCAGCCTTAATTTGGCTTGAGTGCACTTTAATCCCTTTTGGTTTCTTTCAATTTTTGGGTAGTGGCGTGAAAGCTCCTCCAATTTCCCGCCGGCTTCCCCAATCTGCAGCTCCAGTTCCTTGCTTGCAAATTCTGATATGTGGCAGCCCTTTAAGCCTAAAATTATCCGTTTAGTTTGCTGCCTTGTGATGTCCGAAAATCTACAGTAATTAGCGGATAATTCCGGTAGCTTTAGGATAAAGTTTAAGCATTGATTCAAGTGGAATTTATGTGATTGAGTGTTAATTAACTGCTGTTAGATTTTGGAGAACAATGCCGTGAAATTAACTAGTGTTTTGGCTAATTTTTGGAAGTGCAGTTACTGTTTTCAGCACTGTTCATGGTACTGTACTCGGGTACTGTTTACACATTAATGGCCAACAATTAATGGAGATTTAAATGTTTAGTTTGTGATATAAGAGCAAATTTGGAGATATTTGATCATGGGAGATTGATAGGAATAGCATTGTGATTATGGGGTAGTCATGGTGGTTTTACTTTTGAATCCATGGTACGGTATTAATTTTGGATATTTTGATTAGGTTCTTGATCGTTCTGTCAGTTTAGCACTGAGATCGAGTCTTCGGTTTTATGCGATTTGAGGTAACTAAATATATGGTAATGCCCGTACAGTTTTTAAAAGCATGTTTTAACTGGTTTTTGAAGTGGTGGTAAGATTAAACCTGTTTTATACAAAAGTAAGTATGATTGATTTAAAGTGAAATTTTTATTTTTTTCATTAAATTGAGCATGCCTACTTGAAATTTAATTGATTGTCCTGATGATTTGAAAGTGATTGGTGAATTATGATTTTTCTGTTAACTTCTGCCTGTTTTGTCTTCGATATGGTCATGTTATTTGTGTGCCCGCTAGTGGGAGGTTTATAAACGCTAGCACATGTCGACATGTTACTGATAGAACCGGTTCGTTTCTATTATCCTGCTAGTGGGATTATACACTAGTAAATCGTGTGCCTGTCAGTGGGAGATTTATAACACTGGCCATGACTTATAGAGGAGATGTCTATTTCGTTCCCGTACTGTATCCGTTTTTTGTGATTACACTTGTTGGCATGCTATAAGTTTAATTAAGGGCATTCCATATTTTACTTATTGAGTTTATCTCATAGTTTTCCTTATCCACCATATCAGGAAGCGAAACTGAGGACGGGGAAACCACGGGAAGTGACGAGTTAGAAGGCTAGCCATTTTGAGATTGATATAGATTTTAGATATAAATTATGATCTTGTAAGTTAGATTGTATTTGGAGATTTTATGATATCAAAGCAATTTTAAAATTTTATCTTCAGATTTTGTGGTATCAGATTGTGATATGATTAAGTTTCGAGCCTTGTGCATTTGTGGGACCCTCTCACGAGTGCATGGCGTTTGTCGCGCCTCGGATTTGGGTTTTGGGGCGTGACATTCCCCCTTCGATTCCAAGGAAGATTATGTGTTCAAGAAATTTATGTATTCTTTGATTGGGTCCTTTGCTTGAATAAGGTAAATCTCAAATGGATCCTCATAAGTGTTTTTATGCAAAATCTCATCAACCATATTAATAACAAAATAATCATTAAAATCAGGTTTGGTTAAAGGAGACTTCCCATTAACACTTCAAATGACACTTGAACTTTTTCCTCTTCTTCCTTAGGGACATCCCTTTGTTTAGTTTCTGCAGGTATGCTTTCCACTTATCCAAGCTGTCCTCCAATCTCCAAGGGTAAAGTGTTTACCTCTCTTCTTCTTGATTTGTTATTATTGCACTAGGTAAATCACCTTGTATTTCTTCAGCAACTAAGTTTAGCAAATGACTTGATTGGACCTCCAAATTTCTATCCAAACATGTCTCCTCTTCTTGAGCTTGAAACCTTGATTGTGGCTCTAGTATATCTTCATTATCTCATGAGGAGTTTGAATAATTTATCCAATCAGAGTTGCATGTATTGGAATAAGAATTCTACTGCTGACTATAAAACTCACAAGAAAAATCAACACACTTGTTATATCGTTTAAATAAGCAATTAGAACTAAAATGGTCTAATTCAAACCATTCACAAGTGATATTTAATCATTCTATTAAAGCCTTCTTTAATTCGATCCTTTCAATGACTGCTTGAAATCATTTAAGTTCATCATCGTCAATTTTTGCATTCCAATTAATAGTTATTGCTTCAACTTGTGCCCTTATCTTTGGCGCAAGCCATTGATAATTCACATCAGTGTTTAAGACAACTCCCATAGTTAGACCAATAAAAACAAAAACAAAAGAAACAAAAAAAAATAATAATCAAAGTAAAGAAATAAAAGAAAAGAAAATGTTCAAATTAAATCTAGAATTAACCAACTTCAATATTAATTAAATCAACAATCCTTGGCAATGGCACCAAAAACTTGATGCACTAAAATCACTTCAGCAAGTGTACTAGTCGTTCCAAGTAATATAATGATGAATAGAATGTCGAACCCATGAGGATTGTGTTTAACTAAGTGTCAAAATAATTAATCCAAATTTATTTGAACAATCGAAAAGGAAGAAAGTTTAATTAAAAAATAATAAAAGGAAAATAACATTTAAAATAAAACTAACCAAGATATGAGGTACTAAGGCATCGATTTCACCATAATCAATTAATATAAATTTTGGATTATCAAATTCTTGAGTGTTATTGCATGTAATGGTGGATTTCCCTAAATTAAGTAACTAGCTTTCTCAAGTCAAGTTAATTCTTTACTTGTTTGTTAAATTAATCATATCTCTATATAATTTTAAACAAACTAATGAGCATTAAATTCTATGGAAACCTCTAGCTTAATAAGGTGGAGCTCCTAACTCTCTTCTCTTCCTCCACTACCACATGCGAGCTAATTACCTCTTAATCTCATAGTCAAACACATGGTTTATATTATTATTAGTTTAATTTACACAATTCTTTTTCAAGTTCATGCATAAATCACTAAATCAATTGAAAGTTGATCAGGCTTCCAATGCATTAAGTTCAATAATATAAACTCCTCATACGAATAACTTTAATTGAAAGTATAAAAATCACAAAATCTATATTAATTGATTAGGCTACATCATAGCCTTAATAAAATAAATTAGTTTATAATAAAAATAATAAAATCTGAAATCATAGTTATGAACATTCAAATATCAAATAATACATAAAAAGAATCTAAGGAAAAACAAAACCCAATTTAAGGAACTTAATCTTCTATTGCAGATGAATCTTCTATCGCAGATGAATCTTCTATCGCAGATGAATCTTCTATCGCAGATGAATCTTCTATCTTGGTCTCCAAGAATGTCCAAAAGGGGGTTGCCACTAGCCTCCACAAGCTCTCAATTCTGAATTTGGATGGGTATTTACAGGATTTTAGAAACCTTAATTAGAATAAAAGTGAGACCCATACCCATAATAACCAATTAAACACGTATTTTGTGAAAATCGCATAAGGAGTCAACACCTTCAACAAGGTATTGACACTTTCCATTCAGCGCACAATCCCATTGCCGTGTTGGCTTTTTGGCCTTCTTAGCAATTTTTGTAATGATAAAATAACAGTCTCGGTCCCTAACTTCTAGATTCTACACAAGTTGATCCTCAAGTTTCTGATCTCTGTAATTTACTCCTAAAAATTATGATTTCTTCCAATTAAGTCCTTTCCTACACAAAGAATAAAAATTATGTAAAATCAAGTAAAATCTCATAAAATTCATCCAAATATCAACAATATCAAGATAAAAATTCCACATTAATATCTATATGAATTCAACTCATCAAGTATGGCAAGAGAATGTCATTTTTCTTTGCAAGATTGGAAGGCACAACCACTTGTGTGTTGCATGGCTATTGATGATTATCGTGAAGCTAGAAAGGCATTCCAAAAGTTTTAAGTCAAGTCACAAGGGATAACAATTAGCTCATGCTAATGTTATTGTTAGTTTTTATTTGAATTTGTATTGATGTATTAGAACATAATTTGGAATGGAGTACCCCTTATACTAATATTAATATAAATTTTAGTTAGATTGATTGATTAAAAAAAGATTTCAAGAAAACCTTGAGCCACGATAAAATTTTGGGCATATACAAGTTTACCTTAGAAACTTAAAGGAGTCTTGTTCCTAGTTAGCCACAATGTCCATGTGGCTATGAACCATATAGTTTCCCATCCTTGTTTTGGTCTGATAGAATTAAACATATCCCTATGTTGCTTGAATGCATTGTAACAGCTTCTAGGCCAGGTTTAAGCCTATTCTTATGAATGGCTAAGAGGTGTGGGACACTATGAAGGTATTTTATTTACTGATTGGCTATAGGATCTAATTCTAAGCATGAGGTTTGTAGAAGCTAGAAGGATAAAACATGTCACCTGACCTAATTACATGGGGTTGATAACAATGAACTTCTTAAGCAACGTTGACTATATGCACTATAATCTAATGTAGTATGGGTTGGAATACCCTTATAAAAAAAATAAAATTATTTGCAATTAAAAAAAAAGTATGTTCAATTCGACATCTTTAAGTAACTCTACTAGTACTAAGGTCACTTATACTTCTTAAGCTAACTTTAAATTAATGGTTGGAAAAATAGTAATGAGTTATGAATCCCAATAAATATAAATAATTATAATTTATAACTGAAGAGTCATAACTAAATTCTTAATCAAATTAACAGATTGATTAACAAAATCAAATGAATAGAAACAAGCAATTATATATTGTAAGAAACTTTAAAATTAGAATTTAAACTATCTCAAACTTAAAGATTATAGGCCAATTAGTCTTATTGGGTGTGTGTACAAACGGTTGCAAAGGTGTTGGTTAATCAACTCAAGATTATAATGGTAGAGGTTATTAATGAAACTCAATTTGCTTTTTTGGGGGGCCGTTAGTTGATAGTGTTTTGATATTGAATGAAGTGGTTGGGGAGGTAAAAAGGACAAAACATCCAACTTTTGTCTTCAAGAAAAATTTTAAAAGGCTTATGATTGTATGGATTGGTCATTTTGGATTGGATAATATATAGGTTGGGATTTGGGACTAAGTCGAGGGGATGGATTTTGGATTGCCTATCAATAGCAAAGGTTTCAATCCTAATGCCCAATGGAGGAGTTTGAGGTGGGGAAAAGATTGTGGTAAGGTGACCCTTTATCTCTTTCTCTCTTTTAGATGATTGGTGAGGGATTACATGGGCTTATAAAATAAGCAGAAAGCAAAAAAATATTGCACGGTATAGACATCGATAAAAGGGAGCTTGTGTATCTCTACTTCAATTTACCGTTGATACCATTATTTTGGGTTAAGCTCATAGTGAGAATATTATTATGGTCAAGACCATATTAAGATGGTTTGAGATGATGTTAGGCTTGAAGATCAATTTTAGCAAAAGCAATATGTTTCGTTTTAATGTGTCAAAGAGATGGTTAAGAGGGGCAACAGTACTCTAAGACGTGGTGTTAGGATTATACATTTTACATATTTAGGGTTGCCTATTAAAGAGAATCTAGGGGCTAACAAGATATGGGAACTAGTTTTGACCAAGTTTTGTGCCAAGCTTACTACTTTGAAATTCGTTACCTTGTCCTTTGGAGGTCACATCAGTCTACTTAATTTGATACTCTTTGCTTTACCAAATTTTTATGTGTTTTTATTTATAATTTTGCATTGTGTGGTATCTTAGTTGATTTGTATACAAAGACTTTTGTGGGTTGGGGTTGTGTTAAAAAAGAAGATTACATGGGTTAAATGTAGTAAAGTGAAGGGGGGGTCTAAGGGTGCCTGAATTGCATAGAAGGAACTAGGCACTATTAGGGAAGTGGCAGCTTTGATTAGGTGACGGTGAGGAAAGCTTATGGAAATGGGTGGTTAAGGAGAAATATTATGGGAGCAAGAAGGAGCTGGATATTATGATAGTGGAGGTTTTGAGTTTGTCTAAATTTTGGATGGATATTATTAGCATTGGTGCGTTATTTGTGGGGCTTAGGAATATGTTAGTGAAGGGTTTAAGGTGGGAGGTAGGAGATGGAGGACACGTGGGTTTCTAGAGGGTGAATTGGGTAGGAGATAAACCTTTATGGGATCTATGTTCTAGATTATTTGACTTGACTATAAATAAAGAGGGTACAATTAGGGAGATGGGGGAATGGGAGGAGGATAGTTGGAGATGGAGTATGGAATGGAGGAAGAGAATGGGTTGAGAGGGTTAAGGAGGTTGTGTTATGGCAGGTGTTGGACA